CCTGATAACATGGTGTAAGGACACCTGAAACAGTGCTATTCGGTCTAAGGGTGTTTCATCGATCCGATTGCCCTTAGGTTGTCGAGATATGTACAGAATGAATATAAACCATATTTGTATTATTTCAAAAGTGCATGCAAATAAATGCATGCGCAACAAAAACTCACATATCAAGCTATATTTTGTCAATAGTATATCTGCGATGTAAAAATTGTTTTGCAAGACAAATGGTTTTCACATGCCCACTTGGGTACTCAATAATTGTACACGATTAACGCGCTTTGCTCCTGCTTTTTGAAACAACCAATAGATCTGAGACATTTGCATTCACTTTCAGCTCGTGAGATCGATGGATCTGGATTGTGGTATTGCTGAACTGCCCACAGATGTGAGCTTGAAAGCCGCGTTAGAACTGAACGAACTCCTCACCAGTCGGGATACAAAAATAGCACATTTACGCGAGCTGATTAAACAGACAGGTATTGATCTTGATTATTCGTTTCTAAAGCAAGATGGATCCAGTTTTGGGGTCCAAAGTGCAGATTTTCAGAGATGCCGACGTGTTTCAAATTTGCTATTTTTACTTTTTGATGTCTCTTATTTTACCCATGTATGAATGTATATTGCAAAAGTTAAATACAGTCTGAATGCAATACACTTAGCTCATTGTGAGTATGTGCTCCAGCAGTTACACCCGTCCTGCTGAATGGCGCGGAGACTTGGTCATTACGGCTAGAAGAAAAAAAGGCAAATAGTTGGTGTTTAAGCCCCGCTGTCTACGCCGCATTGCACTAGTTTGGCGGGGAAACTCGTCAAGCAGTACTGAGGTGCTGAGGCGCAGTGCTTTAGGTAATCGCGGCCGTCCACTGGAACAAGTAGTTAACCTTCATAGACTGCGGTAGTCGGGACATGTGTTATGCATGTCATCAGATAGATTGCCACGGCGCGCGATGTTTGCCGAGACAGGGAGGGAACGAAAAAGGTCAAGGGCGGTCAAATTACGACCTAGCATGAGGATATGAAGATTTTAACCAGGATACTGGGTCACATAGATACCATTAGCCTCCCTAGATGGGAACCGTAAGATCATGGGAACTGATACTGAGTTACATGACTGGGTGTCACAAATAGTGGCGTTCGTACATCTAATGATTAGTCTTGTAACCGCGGTCTATATGAATTCTCTATCTTCTGTTTGATTCTGCTCCCAACATTCAACTCTTCATCCTGCTCTTTGTTCCAAGTGAGCAACCAAACCCGGCTCTTGAGAGTGCATGGTTAATGGTTGTAAAAACTGAAACAGATTTGAAACTGAATTCAGTAAATCAATATAGAACTCAATTAATTTGCTTTCTTTTGTAAACGTGAGTAGGATTGAAATGAATGCCGATTCATCATTTAGGAATTCTAATTTACGTCTACTGCATTTTTTGTTGGCGTAACAAATTCTGGGTTGCGTTTTTTATGAGCGATATCACTGTCAGATGCCGATTCACTTTACCGACCAAAGTTATCAGCAGCGTGCACAAAATACGTGCACTAGTACAGATGGAACACATTCCGATTTGCAATAGGGTCAGTAAATTCGAAAAAACCCGAGGAATTTCTCAGTGCTTTCATCGATCGATTCTAACAAAAAGGAGTCGTTGGTTAGTTATTTCTAAACCATCAGACACAATATGGCTGTCGGGGTAACCGAGACAGCTCTACGTGGAAAACTGTAAGTATAGCGCATTGAGTGGCTCAAGATAGGATCATCAAAAGCAGACAATTGACAATGACATGTCCACTATAGACTGATGGCAGATTGAATGAGTTCAGTTTCGAGGTGAACCAAAGCAAACCTTTCACTTCCTCGTGTTAATTTTCATGACAAATGTTCGTGTCGTTTCTCCTCAGTAAGCGTTTCTTTGAAATATTCCAACTACTAGCATGCTTAACAACCATAATATTGGTACTGTCTTTCAAATACATGAGGACGGAACGAACTTTTGCTGGTCCTTTTCGGGGAAATATCACACTTTCCATTGAAAACTTTGCGAGAGAAAGATTATGTATCTTCTATTTTGTGAGTTGTTTCATCGGGGGGATGCTAGTGAGTAACTTATTAGATTACAGTGAGTACACAGCTATCCACGTGATCCAATTACAACCCTATTGATCAATCATCTGCGTTTGATCTCGAGGAAAAAATAGTGAGCAACTGCATTTCAGCTGCAGCCAAAAAAGATAGCATTCTGTTGAAACAGGACCAGAGAATGCATTGATTATCTATCTATCTATCTATTATTATTATCTATTAATTATCTATTACTCACTATCGCCGAATTTCAGAGGACTCAAATTTTCATGTATCAAATGGTGCAGAACACAAGCCGTTCCTACCATTCACTGTCCACGTTGTTGCCTCACATTCCACTCCGTCGATATTTAGCTAAGTTAGTGCTCCAAAGCTGTTGGCTAAAACACTGACATCAATCTTTTGCCGACAGCCTATCGGCTATCACTTGGAAGCCTCAAAATTCCTATATGTTTTATACCTCAAAGCACTACTCAAAAAGTACACAATGATGAGATAAGTCTACATTAATTGAAATCTTTATACCGTTAGCAGTATGAAATGTCTAGCGGTTCACTATGAAATGATAAAATATCGGTAGTGTTCTGTGCGACAGGAGAGATTTGAGCACGTAATTAGTCCGTACAATAAAATTTTGCATTTGTCTTTGTCTACTCTCTCACATACGCATTCAAGGTATTCACGGTTGCCTGTCCGACGGATTCCTACTGCGTTTTCTACGAGCCCGAAAGTTTAACATTCACCGAGCCCTGGCCTCGTACATTGCGTACTATGAGACGAGAAATCTATACGCGGATGTGTTTCTCAACCTGCGACCGAAATGCATCCAACATGTGTTTAGCGATTGTGTCGTGGCCCGACTGGCTACTCCGCTTCCAAACGGATGTGCTGTGGTCTACTTCCAACCGGGTCAATGGAATCCGCGATCGTGGCCAATCACAGACATATTTCGAGCTAATGTGATCTTGGTGGAAGATTTACTTCTCGTAAGTTGGGAACCTGCCTTGGGGAAAACAAACTCTCAGAATGGGTGTGTGCCACCGATTAGTCGGGTGGGTGGGTTGGTGAATGAACGGAAGTAAATTTTGTTATTTGGTAACGATTATCATGATGGCAGTTACTAATTTGCTTTCTTTTTATGACATCTGATTTGAATGTGTTATATACGTCACCTTTATGTTTGATTTCACAAGGAAAATAAAGATAAAATTTATTGAAAAGTAATTAAACTTGAGGACAGACTGGTTGGTTAGAACATAAGACCTATGACAAATGAGTAATGAAGACATTCACTGACATCGGCAGTTAATCACTGCCCAAAAATGAGAAAAATAAAAAGCAACATCTTGGAGCGTTCCTGAATGTGTACCAAAACCACAATAGGGTTTTTCAAGCGTTCAGGACCCAAAATATACATAACTTACGTCTTCTCCAAACACTTTCCTTTACTAATTCATGAGTTAGAAGTCTTCTTCTAACCTTCTGTTATTCTAACCTCATCATGTCTACTCCGTGAAAATTTACACTAGTCATATATACGGTCAGGTCAGGTTGCCCAAGACGATAAAGGCTTTCATCAACGGAGTGCCCAGACTCCTGCTCCAGCTGGAAACAAGGTTCTCTCGGAGCTTCAGCCTCTTGTCCACTGTTTGGTCACAGCTGGTTTCTTCATCCAAAACAACATCCATTTTTGAGTCCATATCTGCAACGGGAGATTATTCGAAAATAGGAAGTATGGAAAACCTAGAGGATATCTGGATAGAGACTGATCCAGACTCCATCCAACTGCTTTTTTGAATTCATAGATTGTTATACAGTCAAGCACTCTAATCGTAAAGACGTTACTCTTCAGGTTGAGTCGGCTCCTACTTACTACTCCGGTTTATCTATCGGAAGATGCATCATTTCACCAATAATCTTACGCAATCGAATAAGTAATTCGCTTTTAATAGATAACCAGGAGTAGGAAGTTAAAAGAAAAAAACACAACACTGACAACAGTAGAAATAAAAGTTCAAAAATTAATGGTAAAAGTACCAAGTTACAAGGATTATATATTACAGTAAGTAGTCTATGAATGATAGCACAACCTTTCTCAGGAAGAACAAGACCGGTTTCGCAGTTCTTTCTGCTCGTCAGGTATGTGTATCTGCTCTCTCTTTCTCTCCATATATATATATATATATATATATAACTTGTCGCCAATCCGAAGGCGTGTTATTTTTCAATAAATAGTCCATTCATAATGCGTTATAATGGGTAAAATAAAAAAAAACAATTCAACTTTCTTGAAAATGCGGTCAGATAGCTTTGTCATT